CCTTTTAGTATAATTTAGACGATGGGGGAATGAAATTACCCAGATTTAGGCTTTTCTTTGACAATATTATATTGTTTTTTTTTTTGGTACAGCAGAAATAATCTAAATAACTAAAACAAGGAAACCATTAACGGAGGAAGCAGACCCCCATCTGATCCCCTTCAAGGATAGTCCATAATCCACTTGGTGGAGAATCCCAAATATGTAATTCTGGTGAAGTGGAGTGTCCCAGGGAAGCTAAAAAATCTGCTGCGGAGTTACCCTCTCTTAAATTATGTTGCAATATGGACGCATCAAATCCCTGCATCAAGTTTTTAATTTCCAATAGAATAGCTGCAGTCAAGTTATCTGGTTCCCGGTTCTCATTGATAAGGCGAATAGATATAAGAGAGTTCATTTCTGCAATAACACGGTCTTAGAGATGGGCTTCGATTAGACAATATTATATTGTAGTTATAAGTTTTTTAATTTTTTATTATTTTAAAAATATATAATATATTAATTAAAATTAATAAAAATATATATAAATTAATTAACATTAATTAAAAATAATGAAATTATATTAAAAATAAAATTTTATTAGAAAAATCAATAAAAAGTACCAACAAACAAAAACTTAAATCTTAATTTTGATGTCACTGCTTCTCAAAGGAATTATGATCACAACTTCACAAGGTCACTGGCTCTTTTTTCAATGGTGCAGCCATGTTTCAATTGTGGTTGGCGAAACGTAATTTTCATGGGCTCCTTTTCAATGGTATGATCATCCATAAAGTCCTTCGTCACATTATTTAGCTTGTTGTCATTGGTGAACAGTCATTTCCATGGCTCCTATTGGTTATAATTATCCAAAGTATTTTAAGCACATTGATTGCCAAGAACCTGCCCCAAAGAAATCCGTTTATGACTTTAGCGTGTATAAAAAAAAAATGCATATCCTTTGGTTTGGGTTGCTTCCGCATGTAAGTTTTGAATATATTTGGGTTATAAGAAAGAAAAAAGAGAAAAAAAAATTTTTTGTTTAGTTGTAAAGAAATTATAAAAAAGAGGATGGAGAGGGGAAGAAAATTTTTTATTTTATTTTTTAATTAATTTATTTATCTAAATAAAAAAAAAGAGGATAAATGAAATAAAAAGATATAATTTATATCTTTTTTATTTCCCTCAACTCAAATATATTGTTACATTCAATTTAACTTTAAGAGAGTATTTGATTAAGGAAAATTATATTGTTACACTCAATCCAACTTTAAGAAAATATTTGGTTGAGAAAAACTTCCTTAATCAATTGAATAAAACCTAGTCATCAATATAAAGATCTTAACCAACATAAAAGGTGTTTAGAATGGTTGTTTAAGTTGATAATATATAAAGCTTCCATACTTAATAATTGTTGTTGTTTATAAAACTCTAAAACAAATATCCTTATAAGTTAATCTTCAACACCTGCTAGACTAAATATCCTTATAAGTTGATTCATTTGGGTTTGGTTTTCTTTTGATGAACTCATTAAGTTAAAGGCTAAATGCCGACTGTACTACTCTAATAGACCTTAATTAGCAAATATACTGAACATGTATCTAATCCATCAAACTCCTTCGCGGATTGCCCATACAAAGACACAATAATGCATGCTAATTAAACCAGGGCAAAAAAAAAAAAATTGAAGTTAACAGCAAGCAACACTTCATTTCACACACAGAGATAGAAGGGAAGAGATTTCATGCCTTTTCAACAGAAAAAATTACAGCTTAAATGATGTCATTTTGATAACTGCCTCTACTATAACAGGACCGAAGGACAGTTTCAGCCATGTTGCTTATGCAGTGTGAGAGAGGTTGTAATTAGAAAGCAATTTGAGAGAAATGAAGAGAATGGTGTTGCTAGGCAAGAGACCTGCAAGGCAGGAAGCCAGCAACTACTAATTATAGATGAAGAGAGTTAGATAAACATAAAGAAAATTAAGTTCAAAAATTTTCCTTTTCACGTTAATTTACAATGTTTTGAACCATACTATACTGTATATCCATTTATTATGGAAAAGAGAAGGATAGAAGTGAAAGAAGTCCACAAGGATTGCAACAGTCTCAACTTCAAGAAAGTATACAACATCTATCACTGAGTTGATATCTAGTTAACTAAACCTTTTCTGGCCAAAAAGAAATCAATTTAACCTCTGAATTCTTAATTACAAAACTACTTTAAATTTAAGTGACCATTTCAAAGCTCCACTTGCATATTGATGCTTGTTTGTAGCTTGGTAATGACAGAGACAGAAATAAATTTCACAAATATAAACTTATAAATTCACATAGTGATAGCAGTAGATTTTATTAGTTGTTTTCACACAATTTCACTGGTCCAGTGAGTTGCAAAACTGTCTCCTAAGTCTTAAGCTGGTTTTCTTAACAGTTCTTTCTGCAAGGAAGTTGTGTGACCTTAGTATCACTGTTTAAAGTTTTATTGGCAGCGAGCTTGAAAGCAATTAATGCCTAGGATGTGCTAGGCTTATCAAACTAAGTATACACTATACAGGTTAATGAGCATCGCAAGTGTGATAAGAACTTTGGGGTTCTGGAAAACAATACTAGTCTGTTGCTGCTTGTCAAAGTGTTTCTTTTTTTCTTTTTTTCTTTTTTTTTAACAATTTACAATCATACCTACAATATTAAGGGGATAAGGAAGGAAATTTATGAGAAGTCAAACAATCAACTTAGAATGGTGTTCCCACTAATAGTAAAGTGACAAACCAGTTGGTCAAAGCGTGAGGAGCTTTGCTTTTCAAAATGTTTGACATATAAATTATAGAGAACCATATTTTTCAGTTTAGACGGCACTTTTGGCACTTTTTTCATCTAGATTGTTTTTCCATTGAAATCACTGAAGTACCTTTGGTAAGTTAACCTGAAGAAAAGTCTACTTTGATAAATTTATTATACAAACCATACATTTTACACAATACAAACCAAATATCATATTTTCATAAACTATTAACTGAATTATTAAAAAAAATGTATTATACAATTTAAATTACACAACTTAAATAATTGAAGGAGAGCCTGATAGCTCTAATATTGGGGATTCCTTTTCCATCCAACTACTCTTGTTTTGCAATCTAGTGCATATTAGACTAGAAAACAGGAAACTCATTGGAGCAAACCAAAAGAACAGCTATTGAACCACTGGCTATTACATCAGACATATCAGTCAGGAAGCATGGAAGGCATACCTCACCGACATCAAAAAGTCACTGTCTTTCATTAAAGGCACCCAAGTATTTGGTGTCATCAGCAGTCCTGATTCTCCTGAACAACAAAAGAGGCAATGCCAATTCATTAAATCATATGTAACAAATTAATCTCGTAATAGATTTTCAGGAATGATTCTAAATTAAAATGAAAAATGTGCGGTTTAACTCTTGAATT